CTACAGGAAAAACAAAACCCTGAACTCATGTCCTAACAGAGAAGAAGGAGAAAATGATGTTCAGTTTCCTCTTTTAGAAAGTAGCTACGCCCACTTCTGGTTTTAGTTTGGGATAATAAACAATTAAGCGGAAACATTTTAAAATCCAGTGTTCTTCTGTAACTTTTAAGTAGCTTCCTTTTGTTCTTCTTTTAAGGCAATTGAGAGAACTCTACATGTTCAAAAAGGTATGCCTGTACGCCAGTTTGACGAATGTTGGCCTCCGTTAGGAAGACAAAGTGTCCAGCTATCACCAAAAGGAGGGAGCGAGAGGGGGGAAAGGTTGATGCGTGGGTGACACAATGAGTCAATCCAAGGTGAAGGAAGGACAAAAGGAAGAAACAGTACAAGATGTAAATCAGAAGTAAAATGCAGTCCAAAAGAGATGAATTCTGGATGTGGGTTTGAAAAGGGAGTCTAGGGAAGAGGCATATAAAGCTAGCTGAAGGGTTACATCAGGGTGAATAGAGAAGAAATTGATTAATGGGCAGAGTGTAAGGACCAAAGAAGCTACAGTGCAGGAGCTAAACCTGCATACCTAAGTAGTGGTAGTCTATTTAAATTATGCCTTGCTTCTTTTTCTGGTTACTGAAGATGCATGACCTAAATAATTACAGTAATAAAAACGTGCAGTATATTGACTCCTTTGAAGCTGAAGAAAAAAAAAGGAAGGGAAAAAAAAAGTCTAATCCTGTAGACCCTTGTTCACGGAAGGATTTCCATGCAACCATTCCCTTACAGAAAGAAAACATAAAAGGTTGTCAAGACCTTTCCAAAAAAAAAAAAAAAGACTTAGGATCCTGCCAAACTTATCCATTGAAATTGGTAGGATTTTTTTTTCTAATTTTCACTAGGAATGTGGTAGAAAAAGTAACATGATAATGTGAAGCTGGCATCAGTCAATAATAATCATCCAGTTACCTTATTCTATCCTGTAAAATATGGCTTACAGTCAGGAATGCTCTGAAGACAGGAATGCTCTGATTGTACTCTGGCAAATCTATTTTAAAATATTTTTTTGTGTGTGTATCTTCTATTAATAGGATCAGGTGGGTTCAGAAAACGCAAGCATGACAATTTTCCACATGGTCAAAGAAGAGAGGAGAAAGAGAATGTTAATCCATCTTCAGCTTTGATGACGTCTTTTAAATGTAAGTAAGCATTTGCAAAAGCAGATTATAAAAACATGGTGTAGAAATTGCTAGGAAATCACCAGTATTTGGTGATGGAATAAACCATCTCTCTCTGAAGGAGAAGCTTGGAACTGGTTGGACTCATGGTCCATACCTTTAGAGTTTAGTGTTCTGTTTTTTGTGCAGTGAAGTCCTGAGAGCAGGACTTTGCATAGCTCCCCCTGACTCATGACTTGCTCCTGTTTCCATCCTACCTGCTGTTCCCCCTCCACACCTCACTTTTGCTGAACCTGATGCTGAGCAAACTGCACAAGTGGTCAGCCAGGCAAAAGGTGAGTGGGCCCTTTGATGCCGGAAAACTGTAGGATCTGCAGAGGTGTAAAGCAAAATCTGAGCCACCTGGGGCAAGAGGAGGAGGTGGCGACCTTTGGGAAACTGAGGAGGCTGCTGGCCTTGGCTCTGCTGCATAGATGACTAAGGTACTTTTATGTAAATATGGATGCATTGTTTTTTGACTCGGTACCTGTTTATACCTGCACTATTTAAAAATAAGAGTTTAACTAACTAATATAGACCTGTATGTAGACACTTACTTCAGTTTGAGTGCTGTTTAAAAATTAACTTATATTTGAGTTTCTTTAAATAAGGAAGTGCAAACTTCCCTTTAGCAAAATTGTTTTTATAGGGTTTTTCACAAAACCAGATTTAAACTCTAATCAATTTCAATTTCTCATAAGACTAGCCCTGACAAGGCAACGTTGAGCTTCAGAAATGAGAAACCTTGGCAGAAGAAAGAAGGAGATTTAGTATGGGCAACAAATTAATTCTTGGTGTAAAATTTTCCCCATTCCACCTATTTTTTATGAAGCTAAGGAGGGTGAAGAAATATAAGCTGTAACAGCTGTAACATCTGTAACAGCTGGTCACTTCCATGTCAAATAATTTCCTTGCTTTTTTAAACAGAGGTATTTAGATTTTTCTGTGTAAATCATCTTGGCAGATGATTAACTGTGACCCCTGAACTTTGCTCAGAGAAGCTGTGGATGTCCCATCCACGGAAGTGTTCAAGGCCAGGTTGGATGGGGCTTTGAGCAACCTGGTCAAGTGGAAAGACTCTCTGCCCATGGTGGTGGGGGTTGGAACTAGATGGTGTTTAAAGTTCCCTGCAACCAAGCTGCTCTGTCATTCATGTTGAATATCATACCTACACTTGTTTCCTTCCTTTTCCATGAGATCTAGTCAGCAGTATTTGGTTAATTTCAGAAAGGATTTAAAGGACACAGTTTATTCACCTTTTTTGAGATCCACTCTTTGTACTGCACTAGTGTTTATAAGTCCCAGACAGAGACACTGGTGGTCTTTGTCTCTATGTCAAGCACAAGCATTAGGAAAAGGTATGCTCCGGATGGTTTACAATTAAGCAAACTGCATAAGGTGAACCAGAGTTGTGCACTATTTCTGTGTATGTTGTTTGAATCTAAATAACTTAATCATAGAATCATACAACCATAGCATATACTGAATTGGAAGGGACCCATCAGGATCATCGAGTCCAACTCCTGGCCCTGTGCAGGACACCCCGTTGTCCAAACGCGTCTTGAACTCTGCCAGGCTTGGTGCTGTGACTGTTTCTCTGGGGAACCTATTCCAGTGCTCAACCACTTTCTGGGTGAAAAACCTTTTCCTAGTATCTAACCTAAACCTCTCCTGGCTCAGCTTCATGCTGTTCCCTTGGGTCCTATCACTGGTCATGAGAGTGAAGAGATTAGTACTTGGCCCTCTGCTTCCCCTTGTGAGGAAGTTTTAGACTGCAACAAGGTCTCCCCTCAGTCTCCTCTTCTCCAGGCTGAACAAACCAAGTGACCTCAGCCACTCCTCGTATGCCTTCCCCTCAAGACCCTTCACCCTCCTTTGGATACTCTCTAAGAGCTTAATATCTTAGTTATATTGCAGTGCCCAAAACTGCACACAATATTCAAGGTGAGGCCGCACCAGTGCAGAGCAGAACGGGACAATCCCCTCCCTTGACCGGCTGGCGATGCTGTGCCTGATGCCCCTCAGGACATGGTTGGCCCTCCTGGCTGCCAGGGCACTCCTGACTCATATTCAAGTTGTTGTCGACCAGGACCCCCAGGTCCCTTTCCTCGCACTGCTCTCCAGCGTCTCATTCCCTATTGTATACACACAACCAGGGTTGCCCCATTAATGTGTGGCCTTAAATGGTTATACACGATTTGCTCTTTTTACTCTCTGAAAAGAAGTTGTACTTGAATTGATCTATTGGCACCAAAGATTTCTAAAAAAGTAATTAGAAATTGTCTTCTGTAGTAATTACAGAATCACAGAATGGTTTAGTTAATCAAAAACTGAGGAGTTACACCTTTTTTTTTGTTAATATGTTTTAAATATGACAGCTCAGTGATACAGAGAGTGGATAGTACCTTGGCTTGTAAGTTTAAGATTTATTAAGTGTCCTTTTAATGGTCTGATTCTGCACCACCAAAATATCGATAGAGTTTGAGTCTTTGCTTTCAGCGATAGATTAGACATTATAGGGGAAATATGGAGGAAATGACTGTGTGGTCTTAGGCTGGAGAACCCTCCTAAGTTCTAATTCTTCACAATTTTAGGCAGTAGCACAGTACAGTAGGTTTTCTTGCATCCTGTTAGGCTAAAGATTACTCTGTGTGTCTATTTTACTTCAGGTCAGAAAGCACTTCCTAGTAGTCACTAACAGGTTTAAAATCCAACATAAAAGTCTAAAAGCCACAACTGTCCAGAAAAGATTGGGAGCATTGCTAATATTATAGATCTTCAGAACAGTACAGTGAATTTCCTGGTAGATGACATTTGTAAATGGTCATAGGAAATGTCATATATGGTATCCTATGAAGGGAAGTCCCAGTCACCCTTCTTCAAGTTCCTGCCACTATGATATGAGGAAAAATTTCTTCTTTATGATAATTCAGGGGTGGAATTGACTCTCAGAATTTGGAAGAGGCACACCAAACAGACATGTGTAAGAATTAAAAGATCATTTGTGATCTATCTTAGAGCATTTGTGATTTGTCTTAGAGTTTCAGAATAAGATTAGGAAGAACAGAACGAAATAAGGGGAACCAAGCTTTTACCAAATAGAGTTATTTCTATAAATTCATGTAAACGTGCTTGCCAGTGAACTGCTATACTTTTTTAAAGGATATTCCCTTGTCAGACCCTTTAAAAATGTAACCTTTTAGTTTATTTTCTTCATTTTCTCACACAAAGATGTTAACATTTCATTAGGAAATGTGTTAGATTTCTTCTAAGTATCTATTAATGATTTATTTAGTGGAATAATGGTCTATGAAGTGTTAATGGAATCTGTGAAACATTCATAATGTTTGACTATGATAACCATATACACATCCTCTCTTCTCTGTATTCATTGTAGTTGGAGAGAATTAACATCAGCAAGTCAGATATCTTATTTTAAATAATTGATCTCACTTTGCTTTACTACTTCTAATCCTTTGGGATATTAAAATACTTGACTTTTGGCCAAGTCTAGCTGGGATGTGAAATGCAACCTTTCTTATAACTAAATGGTGCCTTTTGAACGGTATATGTGCCTTAGTCAGATACCTTTTATTTGTTTTGTTTTAGAGAACTAGTGTATCTTATTTACAAATGATTGTAGGGTTTTATTTTTAGATTTATTTTGCTTGATTTGGGTGAAATCTTAAGTTCGTTTCCTGAACAGCAGTACTGCGGAATAGATTTTACTAGGAAAAGCAAGTATTTTTCCTTAAAATTGTTTGGGCTGCCTTAAACCATCATCAGGATTGATGTCTATTTAAACCTGACTTATTAAACAAAGGTATTATTAATGATGAATTTTGCAGCTCTGGCAGGTGGTAGGCAGTGGTGCCCTGTGCAGCCATGCCCCATTCAGGGGCAGCCACGCTGCCCACCTGGGGACAGGTAAGGCACCTGGGGACAAGGCTGGTGGAGTGGGGGCTTGTTAGCAGTGACTGCAGCACAGGCACTTTGCTCTCCCCACATTGCGTTCTTGTGATAACTGTGCTTGTTGCTGTAACGATTGACTCCGCAGCATTCCAGCTGGAGCTTGACACCAGGCATGATAAATATGAACGGCTCGTGAAGCTCAGTCGTGATGTAACTATCGAAAGCAAGAGGACAATATTTCTGCTCCACAGATTTACCAGGTGAGTCACATTGAGCGTGAAAATGTTCATAGAAACCTCGAAGCTGCCGTGCAGTGTTGTCTGTGTTTGTGATTAGCAGCTGCAATGTTGTGTTGAGAGAAATTTAATTAATTTCCCATAAACATCCTTAGAGTGGATGTGAGCTAGTTAATGCACACTCCAGTTAGAGAATTACAAGATGCTGGTTCAAGTTTCTTGGTTGGTTTTATTGGTGTATTAAACTAGATCAGAGCAGCAGAATGCACAGCAGATGAGAGCCTTCCAGCTTTTAGCAGGCTCTCAGGCTGTGAGAGAAGAGTATGCACCCCTCCTTCAGGTTAGTTGCCCGGGCTATTAAGTCACCGTTTTGGTTCTTGCAGCCCTACCCGAAGTCATCAATGCAAAGAGGAGGTGACCTGGGGTCCATTTATGTAAATACTACAACTTGATAGGCTGTTCTGTGAAGTTTTGAGCTTCTGTGTGTTTTGTGTTCTCATGAGCCTTCAAGCAATCTTTGAAAGCCACAAACAAACCAGAACAACAGGAAAATTTGAAGCTTTGCATAGCCTGTTGTATAAAATGTTTACCATATATGACAAACATTGGTCTTGCATGTTATAGTTGCAATAGTTCTCCCTGTTCCTTTTTTTGTAATTTAATTTGTTTTTTGTTACCTATCAATGCATTTATGCTGAAGTAGTAACTATTTATAGTTATCATAGTAGTAAACAGTTACAAACAGATTATGAAGTTGCCCTCTTTTTAACTTGGTTTTCCTCTGCAAAGAGGTATTGTGATAATTCCAGTAACCACTACAGCCTTGACTGTAAATAGCTACTCCCACTGCTGGGGCTAGGTAGCTGGGAACTTGTGGAGGAAAGAACAACAACAAAAACTCCTAATTACTTCAGATTTTAGATTCCTGTTTTGGAAGACATTCCTGGTTTTGTGAGAGTGGAAGCTTTCCATGCTGTATTTTGTATTTCCTTCTCTTTTGCAATTATTGTGGCTTTAATCTCGTTAAACTTTACTGTTTGCTTTTAAATGTTTTCTTGAGACCAGTCTATCAATAGTTCCTTAAATAGACTGTAAATTAATATGCCATATAGATTATTTGTGGTAGGGGAAGTTTAAAGGAAATTAAATAAACTAAGCTTTAAATGCCAAGTATATATTGTGCTTTTGAATCAGATATTTAAGCTGTTCCTGAACAGCATAGTCTGTAACTACTTCCTGAAAGAAAAGAAATCACATGTAGAAGTACATCATGTATTACATTTTGCAATACTGTCAAGTATTGCGAAATATTGTGGTTTTTTTTTTTTTAAAGAGGTTGAAGGACTTCTGTAACTACTGCTAGTTTTCTGGAATATTTTTTGAAGCCTTTGCATATGTGTCTCCTTTTTCTTACTTAAGCAATAATTACAATTCCAGTCTGGAATAAACGTAATGCTACCAGAACTCTGGTTGGTTGGTTGATTATTTTCCTGGTAAGAATCTACAGAATCTGAATAGGTATCAATGGAAGTTAAACTGGAATGTTTCTCATTCCAGTGTTGGCTTTGCTTTTTCTTGAAGCCATTAAAAATGTATTGCTTAGTAAAAGAAAATGTGTAATGCTTTTTAACTGTTTGCTCATGCTCTGAAAACAGCTCTTTCTGTTTTATGATTGCAGTGCTCCCAATGGGGAAGAAATACTAAAGGAGTCTGAAGTCAAGCTAGATGCTGTCCGACAGAAGATCAAGCAGGTTGCACAAGAACTGATTGGAGAAGACATGTATCAGTTCCACAGAGCTATATCTCCAGGTAAATTATTTTAAAATAGGGAAAGTGTGCTAGTTTGAACTGTGCTCAGTTTCTCTTTATGTAGCAGTACTTCCTCCTCATGCTGCAGGTCTGAATTTGTTACATTTCTGTGGCTATAAATCAGGACTCGGGTTAATCTCTGTTACTAGCAAAGTTAGCTCCAGTATTAGAGAGGCTATTGTCCTTCAGTCTTCTTTTCAGTGCAGTTTAGAGGAAGATTTCAATAGAAGACTACAACTGGAAGAATTTGGACCCTGACCTAAACTGCAGTTGGGAGTAGTTCTAACAGATATACTGACTAGTCTTCTCTGACTGAGAGGAGCATGTGTAGCACACTCAGTTACCCCACCTGGAGGGTTATAATTTCTGGGAAAAGAGTTGGAGCAACTATCTTGTGAAATTATCCATTTTGAGTTGATAAAATTCATTAATTAAAATCCTTAGATTAGCATTTTCTTTCTTCTTAAGACTCAGAATGTGCTTCTGCTTGTCTGTTAGAAGCATTAAATCAGTTTATATGTTTCAATCACATCTTTTTCTGCTCCTCTCTGTAAACAGCAGTCCTTTACCAACATTCTTGAGAATTAAGTTGCAGTGCTTTCATGACTCTTTCTGTCAAATCATATTTCTTTGCTGAATCTTTGCTGACAATTTGAGTCTTACCTAAAATTGGTATGCTTTGTTTGTGGCAACATATGAGTAAAATATGTAACTGCTTCTTTGACATCTTGGTCATGGCATAAAAGAGTCTTGTGCTTATCGATCTCAGATTTAACATATTTGGAATTGTGTATATTTTTCCTTGTTTAGGCAAGACTTTTTCAGCTGAGGAGAGCTGAAGATTTGCCCTGAATCATTGAATTGTTTAAAAATGTCCATAAGATTGATTTGATAGACCGGAAGCAAATACGTGTACATTATTTACAAGACAAACAGTGGTTAACTTGTACTCATGTCTTACACAAACTTAAGTTTGTTAAGGGTGAAACAGTTCTTGAGTGAAAGCTCAGTTTAGCAATATGGAACCAGAAGGAGCTTGCCCTGATAGTCTTCAATGACCTAATTAATTCCACGGTCCTCTTACCTGTGATGCATTGGGTTGTTCAAATTAAATACAAGTAGTTTTTCTTAAAGAGCTACCTAATGTGTACGTGTCTTGCTGCTATTTATAGCTAAGTACTGTAATGATACAATGAAAAGGTAATTCAAAACGCTGACACTACAGATGATCTCAAATTGTGAACAGTACTAGTCCAAGTATGAGTATATTGGCTGTATGAGTATATTGAAGTATGCTAAAAATATGTTTTGATTTTCATTTTAAGTACTACTTATAAAAGCCAAGAATTCTCGCATTCAGTTCTATGAAAAAAAAGTTTCTGAAAGCTTCATTGAGACTTGTAAACCTTGTCTGATTAACCCCTGAAGTTTGTAGTCCCGTGTGAGTCACATGATACTATCTATAGAACAGCAGTGTTTGAGGTCTGCTACCTCACAGATCTTTGTGAGACCGTGTGGTGCAAGCTATTGGCCATGCCACGTGAGCAAGATTCTTACTGGGTAACCAGTTACCCCGCATCAGCTGCCTCACCTGAACTGTCTTTTTTTTTTAAATGTGTCTTTGTATGGGTACATTCAAAGAGGCTTACCTACCTCTAGTTTTACTGAGAAGCAGCTTGCCTGGAATTAGCTTGCATTCATCTCAGATGTAATGGTGTAGACCTACATAGCAGACATATGGAAACTTACTGCATGATAATTTCTGGGTGTACTCGTATTCTTATAAAACAAGTGAGCAAACCTAATGCTAGTTTTCTACTTCCAGATTCTCTCCCCTGAGTAAAAAAAATTGATTTTTTTCTTAAAAAATACATTTTTTTTCAAACCTCAAAAGCTAGATTTCATTTTTTATATGAAAGATATGTAAACTTAAGCTAGGCATAGCAACTCAAAATAAAGAAATTGATCAAAAAAAGATTTTGTTCAGGTTTTTTTGTGTGTTTGGTAAATACTCATGCACAGTCAGCTACACTGATTCTCCTGCATAATCTATTTCTGACTTGCATTAAGGTACTTGTTAATACCTGAATGAACCTGAATAAACTCTTTAGAAAACCATTGAAAATATGCTATCAGAAAAGACTCAGAATTTTTAAAACTTTTTTCTGTTGTAAATCTCAGCCTCTTAAAATGTCTGAGATCTGTTTGTCCATTGTAGAGCAGGATGAATTACCGTAGGGGAGATTAGTAGTAGAAGTCATTAGTAGAGGAAGTTAGAGACCTGCTGCATGTGTATGATGACTTAATGCCTCCACAACTGCAAAACTTTTAGAATAGAATACGCAAATTCAGATGCAAGGGACTTACAGTGATCATCCAGTCCAACTGCCTGACCACTTCATGGCTGACCAAAAGTTAAAGCATGTTGTTTAAGGGCATTGTCCAAATCCCTCTTGTAAACACTGACAGGCTTGGGGCATCGACCACCTCTCTAGGGAGCCTCTTCCTGTGTTTGACCACCCTTTCGGTAAAGAATTGCCCCTAATGGATGCAGCAGAGCCATTCCCACATATCCTATCACTGGATATCAGGGAGAGAAGATCACCACCACTCTCTCCACTTCCCCCCCTTGGGAAGCAGTAGAGAGCAATGAGATCGCTCTTCAGCCTTGTCCTCTCCAAACTAGACAAGCCCAAAGTCCCTAACTGCTCCTCAAAGGACATTCCTTCCAACTCTTTCACCAGCTTTGTTGCCCTCCTCTGGATGCCTTCAGGGACATTCAGATACTTCTTAAATTGTGACACCCAGAACTGCGCACAGTTACATATACAGTAGCACATCCATAACACTTGCATCAACTTGGAGTGAGATCGTCATAGTATTAAAGAATTTTCTGACTACAGTATTAAGAAAATTTAAGAGAGTGAATCTTAAAGGAAGGCAAAAAGGTATTAGTGTGCTAAATAGTAAGGGGAAGAAGTAGACTCTGCTGTCCATCTTTCCAGCAGTCGGGGTGCAGTCTCTCAAATACCTGAACTTTGCAGTTTTTTTGAACAGAATTAAAATTAGAAAATGCACAGCCCCCATTGCATTTCTGAATTTAGAACCAGAAATGGGTGTACTTCTACTTTTTTCCTCTTTTAAGGTGACATAAGTGGCAAGTCTGTGGACTGTCATAAGTTTTGTAATACTGATTGGCCCTGAGATCTCCCTGTTGTTTCTGTAATTTGGTATTTGTGCCCCATTAAGAAGACTGTTTATAAAATCCAACTGAAATAAGTTGCCTTCATTCTATTTCTATAGGTCAGCTACTTAAATTCTAGCTTTTCTACATATGCTCCTCTGTGTGGGAAGTTTGTGCCCGCTGGTGCCCATGTTTTGTAAGGGCATGCATTAGAATATGGGCGTGTGTCACTGAGAAAACAGGGAATGCTTTTAGGCATTGTATAAATGAGCCTGAGTGTATAGTAAGTATGAAATGCTAACTTTTAGCCAGACCTTTACTCTTACCTTAGTCATTCTTCTGCTCTCCAGTTAGTCCTCGGGATGGAAGAAGAAGGAACATGCAGCATTAAAGGCTTGTAGATCTTGATTGTGCTGAAGCGAGGATCAAGGAGGTGTCAGAGATGTGAAGGTGCTTGATGTCAGGATTATGAAGCTGAGATAGAAAATCTAGAAGCATAAAGAATGAGGGGACAGTTAGATGAAGAGCAACTGTGAGAGGGAATGTTATTCCCCATGCCCACCACCGTTTATGAAGAACAGTAACTGGGAGGGAAACAGTGATAAGAGTTAAGAATATTGCTTTTAGTTTTGGTTTTTTAAGTCTAGTGTTCTTTAATTGTTGCTTTGCTTTTTTTTCAGTGGAAAAAGCTTGCATACCTTTTTGAGAATAAATGTAGCTAAGAAAAGTGCTAGATCTTTTGTCTTTATGTATTTCCTAGAGCTGTAAGTCTTGAACTTCCTTTAACCTAGTTTTCAATTCTGATTTTGTATTTTAAAGAAATTCTGGAGAACTAGTTAAAAAGACTTTTATGAACAAAAACATTGCCATTAAACTGCTTTTTTCTTCAAAAAAGAATAAAGAAACGCCTATGTCCCATATCTCAAAAGCAGCATGTCTAATTAACCTCAAACTTCCTAAAAATATTCTCCTTTGTCTTGAAACCAAACATGAAACATCCTCCTGTTCCCCACCCTACCTCTCACAGAAAGAGTAAAAGGGTTCAAAACGGGGCTTATGATGGAAACCGCTGTAGCAGCCTTAACTGGGGAATCATGACTGTCTGTGTGATAAAGCTACCTAATACATATTTTATTCAGTATAATAACTGTTAGCCTATAAATAGAAAAGTGCTATGAGTATAATGCTTGGGAATATTGTTTGCCACTTGTAATTGTTAAATGTTTTTTTTTGGGGTTACTCCAAGCAGTTGTTCTTTTGACTTGAAGATAAAACAATTCTGGCAGAGCACTAAAGAAGTTTCATGCTTTCCCTCATTAAGAATAGTGCTAATGGCACGCAGGACGTTTCCCCAAAGGACACTTGCATGAGCTCAAACACTGAGTATAGCACTAATTGAACAACAACAAAAACTGATGACTGTTTTCTACACGTTTCTTAACAGTACAGATTGTCCCGGGGGATGATTAAACAAGCAAACAAAGAGATACTGAAATAATGAAGGCTTTTTTTTAATGCAGAGCTCTTCATTTGTTATGTTAGTGTTCTGCTTTGTTGATATTTTTAAAGCTTTACTATTTGTAATATAGAATTCCTGCTCCTTTGCCCTACTTTGCAGTGTATACCTTATATATCCTGTGAGGAAATGTGTACTGTTTCTTTAAAATTGTTGAGAGACACTATGCAAGAAAACAACTGCAAATGATTGTATGAATCTATGAAAGGGAGGAAGAAATTTTTCAGGATTTTTTATTTGTATATATATACATGTTTAAGCATTTAGATATACATATTTAACTCTAGCTACTAAGGGAAA